ATGCCCCTGAACATCCCCACCCCTGAGGGTGGTGTGAACACCCCCCAACATCCCCGCCCCTGAGGGTGGTGTGAATGCCCCTGAACATCCCTGCCTGTGAAGGTGGTGTGAATGCTCCCCCAACATCCCCACCTCTGAGAGTGATGTGAACGCTCCCCTCAACGCCCCACCCCTGGGGGTGGTTTGAATGCCCGCCCAATGTCCCCGCCCCTGAGGGTGGTGTGAATGCTACGGACATCCCTGTCCCTGATGGTGGTGTGAATGTCTCCCCAGTGTCCCCATCCCTGGGGGTGGTGTGAATGCTTCCGACGTCCCTGCCCCTGAGATTGGTGTGAATGCCCCCATCCCCGCCCCTGTGGTGTGAACACCCCCAGAGGGTGGTGTGACTACCCCCCAGTGTCCCTGTCCCTGAGGGGCGCGTGGGTGAGGTTGAACAGGTGGGAAGTCAGTGTGGCTTCTCCCCAGGCGCTTTACGAGCTGGTGAAATGCAATTTCAATGCAGAGGAGGCCCTGCGGAGACTGCGGTTCAATGTGAAGGTGATCCGAGGTGAGCATGTAGCCCCGGCCTTCCCTGCCTCTGCTCCTGTCGTGTCCTGGACACTGCTGATGCTACTGTGCTCTCCCTCCTGCTTGCAGATGGGTTTTGTGCTTGGAGCGAAGAGGAGTGCAGGAACTTTGAGCATGGCTTCCGAGTGCATGGGAAGAATTTCCACCTGATCCAGGCCAACAAGGTGAGGACATTGTCCGCCCTGCTCCTGCCAGGCTCTAGCAGTGGCTCTTTAGGGCTGGGAGGGGCTCAGGAAACCAGGCACACGTCACCTTCACCCCACAGTGAGATTGGGGTTCCCCTCACTGGCCTTCTCTGAGCCATGGCTCAAGCCCTAGTGCCCACCGCTGGCTCACCGTACGCCCCTTGATGTTTTGTTCTAGTCTCTGCTGATGTTTGTTGGGCCACCTTCCAGTCCCCAAATGAAGGCTCCAGTTTGGGGAAAGACACTACTTAGGGGTGAACTTCAGTAGTCTTGTCTCTTCATGGTCCATCGGCACTGCTTTGCCATGTCCTTGGCACAGTGCCCAGGGCCCATGCCGCAGTGCTGATCTCCAGCCTTGATCCTACTCACAGCCCCAGAGCTCCTAATTTCCTCAAAGGGTGTGAGTCCTTCTGCCACCTGCAGCAAACCTCATGACGGGAGGCATTGCTGAGTGCCAGGTTACCCTGCCTTCCCCTAGACCTGGGTCGTTGCTGGCGTCTGCACATCCCACGGTGATGCTGTTTGCCCGTGGCTTCGTGCATGACTCCGAGTCTGCCTCTTGGCAGAGCCCTGGCCCCTCTGCCATGCAGCGTGGGACGTCTGCATGGGCATGTTCCTGTGGTTCTGTGTCAGAGCCTGAGCTTTTCTCTGTTCATCTCCCCCCTCAGTCTGTTGTCCTGTTCATCTAGGGCCAGTAGCCCTGGCTCCTCACGGCTCATGGGAACGTAGGTGGTAGGGAAGGGCCTGGTGGAAGTCGGGCTCATGTGCAGGCCTCAGTGTCTTCTCCCGGGAGCTTGGGGTGGATGAGGTGCCTGCTTGGGGCTGGTGTAGGGACAGATGGTGCTCAGCTGACCACGCCCAGCACGGTGTTGGATCCGTGCCTTGTGGCCTGCAGTTTCCTGCGCACTGTGTTTCCACCACAGCCGAGGCCACTTCTGTGAGCGCAGTGGCGTTGGCACAGTGCCCTTGTTTTCTCTGTGCCCACCCACCCTGGTGATGGCTGTGGCCCCCCTCTCCATGCATTTCAGGCTTCTGGTGGAGCTGGGGGGAGACCACAGAGGTCTTAACCCCTGGCAGGATGGATGCGCCAGTGGGTCTCATTGAGCAAAACAGACAGTGTGTGTGCCCCTGTTCTCGCTGCTACCCTGGTCCTCCTTGGCCTGCTGGGGTGACCCTCCAAAGTAGAAAGATTCCCCAAATCGTTAGAAGAGGTTTCTGAGTTTTTTTATAATTGAAGTGTAGTTGATGCGCGAGGTCACGTTAGTGTTAGGAGTGCAGCAAGCGTATGGAACCGTGATGGGCAGTGCCATGCATCAGTCAGTGTGCAGCACGAGAAGCGTGGTCACCTTCTGTTGTAGTACAGTGTCGTTACAGAGTCACTGACTGTATTCCCTGTGGTGTTCGTTTGGTCTCCGTGATTTATCTTACGCCCTAAGAGGTTTTGCAAGTGGAGTCCAGCTGCGTGCTGGACACGTTTGTGGCACCTTTTGTTCCCAGGATACTTCACATACAAGGATTTTTTTGGTTTTCCGTGTCATGTTGTAAATACGATCTTGAGTTGGTTTCACAAACCCATAGCATGTACTTTAATGGTGTCTTGATTGCCCTTGTGGGCAGCTCTGCCGCGGAGTGTCAGTAACACTCTACACTCAGTGGGAAACGTGGGCTCACACATTGTCCTCTCTGGACCGGGGGCTCTGTCTCTGGGTCTATACCAGGGTCATCTCTCTCCCTCTTTCTGGGCCTGCGGGGGGCATGGTGGATGCCGCTCTCTTCAGGAGCTTGTGGTCTGGGGTGAGGAAGGTAGACACTGGACACGTGGTCCCGAAGTGAGGAACAGGGTGCCAGGTCCACACCAGTAGGTGGTGGGCTCTTTGAGATGGGGTGCCGTCCTGCTTTAGGTGAGGGGATGTGCCTCAGGGGCGGGCTGGAAGCAGGTGACAGGGGCTGCAGGAGGAGTCTTGCTTTGTCCAAGAGTGGTGGTGCCAGGACCCGTCTCTGCTCGTCTGGGGGCCGAGGTGACACATCTGCTGTCCTGCAGGTGCGCACCCGGTCCGTGGGCGAGTGTGTGGAGTACTACTACCTGTGGAAGAAGTCTGAGCGCTACGACTACTTCTCCCAGCAGACGAGGCTGGGCCGGAGGAAATATGGCCCGTCGGGAGCCACGTGCGTGCAGCGGGCTCCCAGGGCCCTGGGGTGGGGAGGGTGGGTGTCCCGGGCAGGTGTCTCCCCTTCACAGCACACACTCCCCACAGGGATGCAGACCAGGACCTGGACGGCAGTGACCCCGATGGCACTGGTCGCCCCCGCTCGTCGCCACCTCTCCCTCCTGCTGCTGACAGCCTGGGCTCTGAGCAGGACCCCTTGGCACGGATGCACACAGGTGAGAATGTGGGGTGGGTCCCTTCCCTTGGGAGAGCCCTGTTCTCACTGGTGCCTTAACCTGGGCCCCTGGGGCTCTACCCCAGAGAGTGGTCCGTGGGTGTGTCACATGCATGAGTGGCCACGGGGACTTGCTGGCTTGTTGCGTGGAAGGGTACACATGTGTCCTGTGGCCCTGGATGGCACGTGGGAGGTCTCATGGGTGTCCAAGGCTCCCTGGCGTCCGGGCTCAGGGCCACACAGGAGCAGACAAGGCCCAGCTCGGGACTGGAGTTTCTGACCGTGACCATAGAGATAAGGATGAGGACCTTGGCTCCGAGTCTGTTGTACTCTGGGGTTTAGATTGTTCCAGAATCTGGTTGGTTCCATGGTTTGCCTAAAAGGGGGACGGCATCTACCTACTTCTGGAATTGCTAATCACATAGATTCCACATTTATCTGCATTTTGCCTTCAAGCTTCTTTTATTTTGTTTTATTTGAATTTCTCTGAACCTGCTGTGTTCTGGTCTTGGTTTCAAAAAACAGGAGTCACTACCTCCCAGTTCAGGGTCGTCAGCCCAGGTGCACAGTTTCCCTATAACTGGTTTCTTTTGTGTCTGTATTTTATGTCTCTGTGAAAATACCTCCGTGGGGAGGGGTCCACAGGCTTTGCTGGACCCACAGAGGTTGGGCAGGACCCCAGCATAGGTTGCAGACTGAAAGCATGAGTGTGATTTTAATGAGTGTGCTCTTGTTGGGTTGGCTGTGGGTCCCCGGAGGGCTGGTGTGGGTGCCCCGGGGGCCCAGTCTCAGCTGTGTTCTCCCCTGCAGAGCCGCTGAGTGTAGACAGCGTGGCCGGCAGTCTCGGTGAGCCTGGGGAGAGCTCCGACAGCCTCCCATCCTCGGAGCCGGGGCCTTGTCCGTTCCAGCAGCTGGACACGCCCCCAGCCGTGCCCCTGCCCAGGCGACCCCCTGCCCTGGCCGAGCCAGCCTTCTACCCCCCGGCCACAGCCGCTCCAGAGCCCGGCAGCAGCCCGAGACTAGCTGTGGACTTGACCCTGCCTGGGGCCCTCCCCGAGGAGCTGCCTCTCATCTCCAGCCATGTGGATGTGAACGGAGAGCCTGAGGAGGCCATGGCTCCGGCACAGGTGGCCTTGTCGGTCACCGAGTTTGGACTCATCGGCATTGGGGATGTGAATCCCTTCCTGGCTGCCCACCCAGCGTGCCCAGCCCCTGGGCTGCACTCGGAGCCCCTGTCACAGTGAGTGCGGCCCCTGCCCCGGGTCCCCCTGCCCCGGGTCCCCCCCCCCCCCGCCAGCCTCAGGCTGCGCTGTGGAGAGGGGAGGGCTGTGCCCCGAGGGCCCGAGGATGGCTTGGCCACATGGAGCAGGCTCTGTTGGTTTCTTTACTTTTATTCTCTACTTTTAATTTGGCTTATTTATTTTTTTGACTAGGTAAAACATTCATATGGTTCAAAATCCAAAAAGGTACAAACGGGGCCGGTGCCAGGCTCCTCCCACCCCTGCCCCAGCCACCAGCCCTCCCCAGGCGCCAGGGACAGTGCTGCCTTGGGGAGCCTGTCCACCAGCACAAGTGAAAACACGGTCTGCTGGGGGAGGCGAGGTCGGGAGCCACGGTTTCAGCCCACGGCACCCAGGCCGTGCTGTCTGTGGGACTGGACTGACCCTTTCTCGGTCTCTCCCCCTGCAGCTGTAACGTGATGACCTGTTGATCCCTGGCCACGGGTGGGCGTGCGTGGCCTGGACTGGACGTGGGGCCACCGCGGGGCCTGCCTCTGCCAGTCTTCCCGACCCCTCCCCTCCTCGTGGGCCTCGGGTAACGCCTCCTCTGCTTCAGAACACGGCAAGGACAGGGTGAGCGGTGGCCGGGCCGCTGCCCTGCCCCCCTCACACACAGACTAGTGCCCTCGGTGCCCGGCACCACGGTCCGTGCTGTCCAGGCTGCTGCCCCCAGCGCAGGACCCATCGGTGGCCAGAGGCGGAGGGCCCAGCCCCGTCTAGCCAGCAGAGGCGAGGAAGGTGGGGAGATGGGGCAGGATGCTGCCCCCACCAGCAGCCTCTGCCCGGGGCACCCTCAGCACTCCGCTTGGCTCCATCTCCCTGCACCCGGCAGGGCCACAGGCTGCCCCAGCCCGGGGGTCATGGGCAGCTGCTACTCGGTGCCAAACCCCGTGGGGCACAGAGCCATATACCTCGACGTCGGCCCCGCCTGCCCTCGACCTCCACCCTGCTCTCCACTTCAGGAAACGGCGCACTTTATGTCCCCGCCCCGCCCCCCCCCCCCCCCCCCCCCCCCCCCCCCCCCCCCCCCCGTCTCCAGCCCAGAGCAGCCTTGGGTGTGGGGCTGAGACAGGTGACCTGCACCCCCCTTGGTACCAAGGCGCCGTTGCCTTCAGCACCGAGGGGCCAGCTCCAGTCCGTTCCCCTGACCCCGTGGGTCGTACTTCTGTTGAAGCTCCCCAGCAAGATGGCTTGGGGTCCTGGTCCTTCCCTTTCCCAGCTTCCCTCGTTTTATTTATGTTTCTGTTTACAAATTGGAGTGGGGTCCTCCACGGGGCCAGGGCAGCGCTCCCCAACCCCGGGGTGTCACCAGGAGAGGGTTTTGGCTCGAGCCCGTCTGCAGAGTTGGCCTCGACCTTCCCTCACCCCACCAAGGACCACACTGTGAAGTGATAACTGCCTTGAATCCCTTGCTGTTTTATTTATTAAACTTGATTTGAAGTCCATGGGTGCCTCGTGGTAGATTGGGAGGATGGGGTGTGAGGAGGTGCTGGGGACGGCCGGGCACTTTGTGGACCCTGTGACTGGGCTAAGCCGTGGCCAGGATGGCATGGGCTGGGGGCGCTGGTTGCGATGACTGACATGACCGGCTGCTTTGATGTGAGGCAGACCTAGGCCATAAAAACCACAGCAGACGCAGGGGCGGGAAGAGCCCTGGGTGAGAGCATGAGGGTAGAGACTGGGTGGGCCAGGGATGGCCGGTTTTATTCTGGGTCTGGGGCCCTGGAGGGGTAAGCAGGGGCTTGAGACTGCTTTTCACAGCTACCTGTGGTTGCTGCACGGGGGTGGGGGGG